GAAGCCCTCTCCCATGTTGAAAAACTATCTATGATTCATAATGAGGAAAAAAGAAAACACTATTCTGACCTCTTGGTCTTAAAATCCAGTTTGAATCAGGTGAGAGACGGCTTAACTGATATCTATAAGCTGGTGTCTGATGTTGTCTCAAGCGACTTAGAACTTTTGAGAGATTTGGAGGCTAACATGGTCTCATGTGTGAAATGGAGTGATGCTGGAGAAGTTGCTAGTTTATCATTCTATAAAGCATCTGGTGGCATTACATCCAGCAATTTACAAAACAAGGTAAGGTAGCTACTTTATTTCCAATTGCAATTGACCTTACCATATCTGTTGTATTTTGGTGTGCCTTTTTTCATGTGACCTCACTAGTTTGCCTGTATTCTATTTCTCTTTAATTTGTTTTTACAACAGAGTGCCTCTGGTCATTTCTTGTGTGTGTTCCTGACATATATATCTAAAGTTCTCTCACAAGCAGCAGACAAGACTTTGAAATATCATTCTTGTTTGTTTGCATTTCGATATTGAACACAAACCTGATTTGATATCAAGCAGTTATTATCTGTGAATAGCCTGTTATTTTCAAATATTGATTTGTTGATTGCTTGTGGTAAATATCACAATTATGCTTCTAATTGGAGTTATCTGTTCAGGAGAGCTTTCAGTCTGTGGATTCTTGGTCAAATGCCAATCTACCAGACCATTTTGATGCCAATTTTACAGTTGATGCTGGTGGCTTTGTTGCACATCACCTGCAAGAATTCATGAATGAAATCATTGCACTCAAAGAAAAGTTGAACAGGCACTTGAAATCATTACATGAACAAGCTAGTAGTCTATCAAGCACAATGGGGGTCCTACAGAGAGAAAATGCTTCTCAGAAAGAGTCATTTGAAGCTTTAAGGAGAGACATTGTGCGCTTAGAATCGATTGGAGGAGAAAAGGACATGAAAATTGGTGCACTGAGTAGAAATATTGCCCTGCTGAATGAGGCCTGTGCTAACTCAATTATTGAAATTGAGAACAGGAAAGCCGAGCTGTTAGGAAAGAACTTTTCTGCTGCAGATATGGGAAGCTTGAAATCTGTAACAGATACTGATCTTGGGCTTCCTTTCACCAGGCAGATTGATTTTTCCTCTGAGGAATCTGTGAAGTCCGTGGCAGACAGAGTATCATTAGCTGTAAAAGAGTTTGCTACTGTGAAAGCTGATTTTGCTGAGAGTGCCCTAAAGGAAATGAAAATGTCTGTAGCAAACTTGCAGAAAGAGCTTCAGGAGAAGGACATTCAAAAAGACAGGATTTGCATTGAGCTTGTTGCTCAAATCAAGGAAGCTGAATCTGCTGCAGCGAGTTACTCACAGGATCTTCAGTCCTCAAAAACCTTGGTGCATGATTTGCAGAAACAAGTGGAACATATGCAGGAGGAACAGGATTTGTTGGAACAGAGAGTAAAAGAGCTGCATGATGTGCAAGCTATCTCAATGGAGCTGCAGAACAGGGTTGGATCATTGACAGATAAACTATCAGCCAAAGACCAAGGTAGGTTCAAAATTGTTTGAATTCTGCTCTATATTTGCTATTATTCTTTTAAAATTATAATCTGTATTTATGAGTGATATTTGGTGACAGAAATTGAGGCTCTAATGCAAGCACTTGATGAAGAAGAGGTTCAGATGGAAGAGTTGACAAGAAAGATTGAGGGACTAGAAGAAATTCTGCAGAAAAAGAATGTAGATTTGGAGAATCTTGAAGCTTCTCGTGCCAAGGTGATGAAAAAGCTTGCTGTCACAGTGAGCAAGTTTGATGAGCTCCACAATCTCTCTGAAAGTCTTCTCTCAGAGATTGAAAAGCTCCAGTCACAACTTCAAGATCGGGATGCTGAGATCTCATTTTTAAGAAATGAAGTCACAAGATGCACCAATGATGTTCTTTCTGCGTCACAGACAAACAGTAAGAGAGACTCAGAGGAGATTTATGAATTTTTGACTTGGTTTGATGCAGTGGTTTCTCGGGTTGAGGTTCCTGATCTGCATGTTGATGATAAGAACAGCAATCAGGTCTATGAATACAAGTTTGTTTTTCAGAAGAGGATTAATTCTATTATATCAGAACTGGAGGACCTACGAGTGGTGGCTCAAAGCAGGGATGCTTTGCTCCAAGCAGAAAGGAGTAAAGTAGAGGAGTTAATATGCAGGGAAGAAACTCTTCAGAGAACCTTACATGAGAAGCAATCCCAATTAAACATGCTTGAAAATGTGGGAGATTCAGCCCGAGCAACTGGTTTCAACTCTGAAATTGTTGAAGTTGAACCTGTGGTGAGTCATTTGATGTGTTTTCAGGTTCACCATGTGCCCTTCAGCTAGAACTAGCAAAACTAGTTTGATTCGGGATTTTTCTCCTTATTTAATAAGAAAATAAATTCTAGTTGCAGAACAAGCAGTTTTATCTTATGACCTTAAGCACTCTGTTCCATTGACTTCTGTGTAGGTAAACAAATGGGCAGTTGCTGGCACATCCACTGCATCTCAAGTTCGCAGTTTGCGTAAGGTGAATAATGATCAAGTGGCTATTGCTATAGATATGGATCCGGGTGGTAGTAATAGGTTAGAAGATGAAGATGATGATAAAGGTAATCTATACTGTTATATATTTTAGTTTTAGGTTTTTCAGCCTAAAGTGTAAATCATTTATATTTTGAATCTACATTACATCATTCCTAATTTCATTTTCTCCTCATCAGTTCATGGTTTCAAGTCACTTACTACATCAAGAATTATTCCAAAATTTACCAGGCCTGTAACTGACATGGTTGATGGCTTATGGTAGGTGTTATTTATTTCCTTTTTCATTTTATGTTGATTTTGAAGTAGTCTGGATTTTTATACTGAGTTAAAGATGATCTCCAGCAATATAGCCTCCTGATAAACCATGTATTGTTGATCTGTCAGGGTTTCTTGTGATCGAGCACTAATGCGACAACCTGCCTTACGTCTGGGTATTATAATGTATTGGGCTGTATTACATGCACTATTGGCGGCTTTTGTATTCTAATGAGAGAGTCAGGTTAGTGGACTCTTCGTCCAGTATAGATCACAATATCTTCAGCATTGTGCTTATTGAAATTTTTTGATCTGTAACCTTGGGAATCTCCGGCCTAAAAAACACCTTGAGATTCTGTTTTGTTTCAAGATTTTGCACAGCATTTTTAAAGCACTGTAGAGAGGATAATCATTTGTTCACATAAATCTTAGAAAAATATGAGCATAGAAGAAGAGGAGAAATTCAGAGAATGGAGGAAACCAGTTTTGAGAATTTTCATTATTATTAGAGTGCATATGTTTTCTAGCCCTATCTTCCTTCCAGTCTGTATTCGTTTGTCATGCTTATCTAACATGTTAAAATAATTGGACCATCATTTCTTCGCCTGTAATAAAATGATAGATCAGCTGTCATCTGGCATAGAGAAAATCGTGCTTGAGCTCATGGCCCACCTGATCTGCAGGTTCTCCACTTGGTTGGAAGCGAAAGATTAGCACGGACTCTCAAACCATGATCATATCCTCAAACGGACATTTCTGTGGGTAATGAATTCAATTTTTTTTTTTTTTTTCACTAAATCTCGCTCATTGATTGATTATTTTTGCTTCATGAGGCAATTGAGGTTTGCCATTTTTATAAATCTCAGATTGCTCGTCCACATCCAATAAGGGAAAAAAAAAGTCCTTTTAACCATGACAATAGGGGCTTAGGTTGAGGATTGTATGCTACATTGCTAAAACTGTTATTCAAATATATGTCTACAAGCTATGTATACTTTGAGGGAATGCAACCCCCAATTTATATGCCTCCGCAATGTTTGGCAAAGCAGATTTAACACAGAGATATCAAATTGAGCCCTGAAGTGGCAGCCAAACCCAAGTTTGCAAGCTTGCAACAAAATTTTCCTCCTGTTGAGTATGTTGTAACCGATCTTGCCATTCTTGATTAACCTGGAATTTCACGTATGAAGGCAAAAGATAATTACCCTGCCAACCTATAGGTTGTTGCTGAGTTAAATGCACAATTAAGGGAATCCCTCACCGGAATAATGCTCTTGAAACCCGAGTCAAGCAATTTCAAGTGCAAGCTTAGAAGCCCATAATTTGGCTGCATTGCAGGACCGATACTCACGCTTGCATTTTATACGGTTTTCTATATCTAAAGTTATACCTGGACGGCTGGACTTCCATGAAAAACGTTATGCGATTCTGTCAAAAGGAGAATGGTAACAGATTCAAGAAGGAAAAAAGAAGAAGAACGATTAGAGCAAAAGCACAAATGTATTATTGGGGGACTGCGAAGGTGGAGTTTGAAGTAAGAAGTTGGATTTTTTTTTTTTCTTTTACATATGATAAATAAGTTATACAATAGTCCCGCACATGGTGGCGTATTGGCCACCCACTTGCGGACGTGCGTAGGACTAATGAGACCTAGGATCAAATCTCAGGTCCCTTCTCCTTCCTCGGAAAAAAACAAAAAAGTTTTTTACTGTTTAAAAAAAAAAAGTTATACAATAAAAATAACCTATTCTCTATTTTTTTAATTAAATTTCTTTGCACCTTTTAAAATTTTATATTCTTACTACTTCTGACAAACTCCTTGAAACGAAAGGAAAAGAGTACGAAGATAAAACACATAGAACTTGTTTTGGCCCTGGGTGGGTAAACGAGAGGTTTACTGCAAGGCCAACTTATTAAACAAAAAGACAGTATTTGAGGGA